GGGGGGGGGGGGGGGGGTCTTTTACATATTTTAGAACTTGAGGAGATAAATCTGAAAATAGGAGAGAGTGAGGGGTCTATATGCAAAAATTAGTTAATCTTTTAATTAAAATTTATCTCCAGCATTGAAAATGCCTGTTTATCATCATATTTGTTAATTTGTAGCTAAACTGTCACCGACATTACTTTTTAGGCTAAACTGCACCTGATGTGTGATAATAAATGAAAAAGCTTGAACTAAACTACACCTTATTTTACGTGCGCTCTGCACCTAATCATATCCAACCATTTGAAAATCTCTCCAAATAATTTTGCTCTTTTATTCTCAGGTACTACTGCTCAAAAATCTCGAAAAAGCCTAATAATATTTTCTGATGCAAAAAACTAAATTTATGTTATAGGAATAAATTGGCAGTGTTACAACCTCCCAATATTCAGAGCTTCGGACCTCAATAATCTAAAATTATTTACTGGTAAATCCTTGAACAAGGTTTTTTTTCCTGAGAGGAGAACGGAACCGCTGTATTCGAAAAACCGTATTCTCTAAATATTGAAATTGTTATTGTTTGTCTTATTTTTCGGACAAAATTTGGTGATAAATAAAAACAACTTAGATATTTTTAACAAAAAAAAAATCCTATGCCATGCTCTGTTTGGATAAAAATAACTTAGATATTTTGACTAGAAGCTCTCTTGCAGTGCGAGCACACCAAAAACTAGAAAGCCACAAGCCTCAATTATTTATTCAAGAATACAATCAACACATTAATAAAAATGTTTGACTATCAGAAATTATACAAAAATTAGGACAGACGATAAAAACCAACTCGATTACAAAAAATAAGCAGCCGGGTACCCAATCTTTAAATACTAACATCTGATATCCGAATGAGTCGTTCAGCGAAATACAAAATGCCGGAAACATAGTTGAAGAAATCTATGACTGCAAGATTTGAAGAAAAACATCCTTGGTAATAACTCTCAGCTCCACGCAAAACACCATCAACAGAGAGATCTATGACTGCAAGATTTGAAGAAACAAGACGCTCGTCAGTAAAGTAAAAAAAAAAAGTAACCTCAGGTGAACAGGAGCAAAATACGCACGACTTGAATCAAACCTTGTTAGCGATGTTGTTTGAGAGCCAGTCTAATCCCTCGTATAAGCCCTCTCCAGATGTTGCACATGTGCTCTGGATGTACCTGAAGGCACCAAATAGATCGGTTAATATATATTGTATGGTCGCAAATATTAAGGATTCTCAAAGCTATCATTCGATGAAATGGATTGAAAGAGATGATAACCAACGGGGTGGGAAGTGAAAACAGTACCAGTGACGCTGACGAAGGGAATGAAGGCCAAGCTTGTCAGTGATTTCTGCAGCATTCATGGCATTTGGAAGATCCTGTTTGTTAGCAAAGACGAGCAGCACCGCGTCCCTCAACTCATCCTGTCAAAGACGGTAATCATTGGGTTACTGTCCCTTCTATAGTGATGAGAAATTGGAGCCTAAAAGCCTCCTGGTGAATGTTGGCTCGTTAAAATCAAACAGTTTATGGGTCATAGAAGCCATACTGATGCCTCGAGCATTTTATTGTACTATCCAGAGAGAAGACATATCCAGAGTGTATATTCATTTATGACAGCAAGTAAAATTCATAGTAAATGTGGCAGCAACGACATGACCATACATGATAACGGAAAATGCAGCACTATGAATACTCACTTAGGATATCTTTATTGGATCTTCAGTTATTGTCTATAACAGAGGTTTTCAAATACACTTCCTTTCAGCATCAGGTAATATTAAATCGCTAGAACAATCACTACAGCATATAAATAATTAGCAAGAATAAAACAAATACACATCTTTTAGCAGAAGTACAAGAAACAATGAGAATATAATTCAAATTAATGGCCAAAGAGTACTAAACTATGAGCATTCATTTTATTTAGTTTGGATTAATCATTCATCATGAGGGAGAAATGAGGAGGTTGTCCCTCATATAGGATCAGGGGGGCGCAATTGAAATGAAGAAGTGTTCTAGCCTACATTGACCGTCAACGCCTGTTTTAGTTTAAGGGGGGACATTGCATTAGATGTCTGCCACACCTCATGTCTCACAATGGTAAAAAATTAAGAAAAGAAGTGGTCAAAACATAATAGTCCAATAAGAACATTAAAATTGATGGCTGAAGATTCCCTAAGCTAAACGATAATAAAGAGAATGTTTACTGTTAGAAATAGCTATAGATAGGGATAGATGAGGCGATGCAGTTTTAAGATGTCTAAGATAGGTGCAGCAAGGTAGAAAATTTGCAGATCCTAAGTGAGTGCACTTTTGGGAAAAGCTGTTGTATTGATAGTTGAAACTTGAAAGGAATGGTTAGGATAACGTATAGACCAAAACACGTCAAAAGATGGCTTGCTCTTCTAATTGAACAAAAGCAGACGGTCTTTACTCCTTAATACAGTTACATAGAGAAGGAGTTTGTGTAGCCAATCGAAAATTTTGGGGCAAAGATTTTGTTGCTCTGATAAAGAATGGCATGATAAGTGTGTACTACAGGCCAAATGAAAACTTCACCTTCCTCACTAGAATAGAAGAATTGTTGCTACTACTAGCATTGCAAAAGGTTGCTACATGGTAAATTTGAATATGCATTCTGCAGGATGCAGAAGGGTCCCAAACTCCCAATAGCCATAGAGTGAAACACGGTTGCAAGTAGCAACTATCATCCAAAATGTAAATAACTACAGAAGCAAACAAGCCTACCTCTGTGCTGAATTCAAATTTGATAATATTGTTTAACTCTCTAATTATCATCACTTTCTTTAACGAGTAAATCAAATTATCATCATAGTTGCACTTTCATATGGAAGCTTACCTCATTAAGCATTCTGTGGAGTTCGTCTCTAGCCTCAACAACACGATCTCGGTCATTACTGTCAACCACAAAAATAAGGCCCTGCGTGTTCTGGAAGTAGTGTCTCCACAAGGGTCGGATCTGATAGACCAGTATATACAAGTTACCATCAACTTACAGGAAGCTCTTTTCAACATACTTTATCATTAAGACATAACGCTATCATGTTTAAGAATAAAAGGAACAAATTTTTGTTTTAAACCCATTTCAACTCTTTTTTACCGGAACCGACGGACTCCCATTTTATTTAGCGGAATCGACCCACTTCTCGGCCACGTCAGCAACGTGGCCGGGAAGCGGGTCGATTTTTTTTTAAGCAGGTCACTAAATAGTCGGGGTTGCCAACCCCGACTATTTTTTCTACTGAAAAAATAGTCGGGGTTGGCAACCCCGACTATTTAGTGACCTGCTTAAAAAAAAATCGACCCGCTTCCCGGCCACGTTGCTGACGTGGCCGAGAAGTGGGTCGATTCCGCTAAATAAAAAAAAAGTCCGTCGGTTCCGGTAATAAAAAGGTGGAATGGGTTTAAAGCAAAAATTTGTTTGATCATAATATGTTCGCCTTTGCACACACACAACCAAACCAATATAATTTGTAAATAATTAAAATGCCTTTTGAGTAAAAAAGATCTCATAACTTTGTCGCTTGCTATTTACGCGCAACATATCCCCAAAATTTTGAGTTTTCTTCTCTCAAGGTAAATTCAATTATTTGCAAATTTTACAGGTATGGCTAGGTCACATAAGGTAAAGTTTGGGTTTTCTAGCGCGGGGGGGTGTAAGACACCCCATAGTTCAAGGGGGTTAAGTGACATAAACAAAATTCAGGAGGTTTATTTGCAACACCTCTCAAAGTTCAGGGGGTTTTTGTGAAAATTAACCCTTATTCGAACGATTGGTTACAAGTTTTGAGTACTTTTGCTAGTTTAGTGGAAGTTTTATGGAAGTTTATAATACATAAATGTTCACTAAAATAATGTTGATGATTAGATTCTGAGAATAACTCAGAATCTCATAAAAACTTGGAAAATTTGTGTCAATGCCCCCAAAAATCAAAATTTGATGTAGCTTAGTCTCCCTAATTATTTTCATTGTATATTGGCCCTAAAGATTGTATTTTATCCAGGTTTCTCATTTTACTCCTCTTTTATTCTCCACCCACTAAAAAGCTTCATCATCTCCCCATTCTTCATCTCTCTAAATCCTCATCCCTACCTACAACGTCGATGCCACCACAATGTTGCTGCTCCTCCCTCCTCTTCACCTCTCTCCTAACCCTAACCTCCATCGTTGCTCCCCCTCCTCTTCTCCTCCTCTCTCCTAACTCTAACCTTCATGTTGCTCCCCCCTCCTCTCCTCCTCTCCTCCTACTCTCTCCCAACCTTAACTCTAACCCACCACCTCCTCCTCTCTCTCTTCATCTTTCCCTCTAACTCTGTCGTGTCCTTCTCCCTCCTCTCCTCCGTCATCACATACTTCAACCTCATCCTCAATTAGTTTGATTCCAACGGCAATGATAAGATCTCCTCATGCTCCTCTTGTAGCCGTGAAAACTCTATCGTCTTCTTTAGCCCCAACTCTTTCTGAAACCCTATCTCCATCTTGACCTCTCCGCATTCATTTCTTGTGACTTTACCTTGGCAAAACTCTAATTAGCGACCTCACCTCTTGCCACAGAATCTTTTTGAAATTCTAACCCCCAAATGCCTTCAAAATCGTCATTCCAGAACTGTTTCTTATGACAAGTTTTGCAGCAGTAAGTATTTCATCATATAATATTATTGATTGAATCATTGAACTGAAGTCCGCATTCATGTGTATATGACATGTGCATATAATATGGTAGTAGCTGTAAGTTTAAAGAGAAGCTTATATCTTATCTAATTCATACTACTCTACTTCAACCTCTTATGCTTCCATAAGAAGAACTGGCGGTGCTCCAAATGCACTTTATGAATATCAGGAAAAAATAAACAAGAAAAAGGATATCACATGACTCCTATTTTGTGAACTGTCAAGTAAATAAGAAAGCAGCTTGATGCACAAGGACACACGCAGCCAGATAACTAACAATCAAGTATCAAAATCCATTTATTACAATTATTGTGAAAATCTTTGGGCAGAATTTTTAAGTTTTGACCTTTTAGTAGCATGTATGTTGTATTTGAATGGATAGGGGGAAGGGAGAGGATAAATGAATACAAATGATATGCAAGACAATTTATCATAGAAAGCAAAGGCAGATTTCACTCTTACCAGATTCGGAAATTTCAAGTAGATCTGTATTGCAAATGTTTCCAAATATTGTCGGACAGCTGGTAAATTATTCCTCTGCATGACAAGGAAAAAAACATAAATTTGACTGATTATAGAACACAGATTATTGACACTAAAAGGGCAGTCAAATATTCCCCAAGAACAAGTTCTTAGTTCTTGTTAAGACAGTTTATGACAAAACAAGCAACTAGAAGTCACTCTTTCTGGGCAGTACGTTTTCACCAATCCATGAAATAAGCATGTCTATGCTAAGCACGTCTATGTTGTCATTATACCATCGTTAGTTTCGATGAAAGTGACAAACAGTACATAAGAGTATTACATTTTGTGAGCATGCACCATTTCACATGACACTTTTCTTATTCGGGGATTTGTTCCTTGCACGTGCCAGCTTGTTTATCACTTTTTAATGACATCCTCGAATACTCCAATCAGACCTCCACCAATGTATACTTGTACTCAGATGAAGCAGCAGCATATACAATAATACCGGTGAGGGCCTCATCGCCGGTAACTACGGCCGCCGGGAGCCCACACCGCTTTCTAAGAACCCAGACAACCAGAGAGGAGGCCATGGGTTACGGTCTCTGGATCCAAATCCAGTCATTTGGGTTACAAAGAAAAGACGAAAGGAAAAATGATGATAATGAAAAATTCTATAAAACCCTCTCAAGATTCAGAATTTCACAGAAAGGTCCAAGTGGATTAAAAAGGTTATAAGTATTTGAACAAATTTTACATAGCTCCCTAATATCTGCAGAAGTTTCTAACAAGTCCATAATATTGAAGCATTCACATAGAACTTAAAGTTTTTGTTTAAGCCCTAAACTTATCAAAGACTTTAAATAGGTCC